GCGTTAAAAGTCACTTGAGGATGGGATTTGCAAATTTCCCAAGCATTTTGACTTACTTTTAAAGCACACTGGCAAAAAAACCGTTACTCATCAGGATAACAATGGACTGCAATGCAATTTGGTACAGTTTTTGAAGGCAGGTTGAATGTACACAGAGGCATTCGTTGTCTGAAAATGAAGTCAAAAGGGGAATGACTTTTCGGTACACTGTTACAGAATAGACCTTAATGAATACACCGGGAAACAGGAACGCATATGTTCAGGCAAAAAAGAAGGCAGTGAGGCGAGAAATGCACTGAAAAATTGTCAACTGCCACCAGACATCCCGTTTGTTCAGCATTTTGGGTTTCATGAAAGTAACCTTCAGCTTACAGGACGCAGAAGGGAACATAGTGAATGTTTGAAAAAAGAGAATTTGACCACCGCTAAAGCCAATATATTCGATTGGGCCCCCAGAACCGTATGGGAGTTCATTATTAGAAACAGCAAAGAAACTGCGAAAGATGTGCACCTCTTGTAGTTTGGCATCACGCGTTAACCAAATGACCCCTCGGCTGAGACCTGGGTCGCGCTTTTTGGCAGTGGGGCGCAGTGGAGGGGGATGATCGATATCCCGGTTTACTGGAGGCAAGCCCTTCAGCAGTTCTCTCCACCCCCCCCCCCTCCCCGGTTACCGGTCCCCGCCTTTTTCCGCGTGCCCCTCGAAACCCAGTTTGTGGTCTTCCTCTAGGGTTTTCTCAGCGATTTTAGGGCAGGGAGTTTTCTCTCCTAACTGCCCGCCTGTGTTTGCTTGCTTTTGGGCAAAGTAACTCGCGGTCTGGCCGATGTAGTAGGATGTGCAGCTGCGGCAAGAAACCCACAAAACTGCTCTAATCTGTGTCCGATTGGCCTTTCGTGTGCATTATTGTTTTATGCACGCAAGTTTGCGGATGATGAATAATAATCACGTCAGAGTCTGCAGCAATGATTTATGCAGCCTCAGCCAAATGTCTTGTACACTGTGATGAACGGAAGCCACCGGTCTTAACTGAATCTACTCCCATGCTCTGCTATTGTAGGCGAAATTCCTCTCCACCTGAAACCGCCTGCACATTGTCTCGCGTTTCCACTCCGATGAACAGCAAGGTCAAATCAAACAATACTAGTATTTGGCGGAGACTAGCAGTCTGCCCTTTGGAATTAGCAAGAAATGTTGAACCTAGTTAACTGGTGTCCGTAAGCTGTCCGCAAGGAATGACATCCACTTATCTAGATTGTAGATAGTGCTATTTCTCAACACAGCGGTTGACCGAAGGGACATATTTGACTTATCGATTTTAAATCCGGCCAGCGTTGAGTTCGCCAGACTTATCTTGTGCAGCTGCCATTGTGAGGTCCCATTTTTGTCCGGACTGGTTTTAAGAACTTTTAGATGGTCCCTCATTTATCTTTGAACTGCGAGGGCGCCCTCGGGTCCGTAGAACTGCCCGTTGTTAAGACAATCCTGTGCCTTGTCATTGTGGTCGACGTGGTTAACTACGAGTGTTGGTCTGCTCCGAATAATCATAAAGAGTGGCTTGACGTGGTCTTAAATTGCACTTTTATCTTCAATGTAGGTCAGTGTTTGCCTGCTGAAGGCCTTGGAGTCTTTTTACAAATGTACGCACAAATAGGCACTTTAGGACATTTAAAGTATCCACATTTTGCACACAGCCGAAATGGTTTTATTGACCTCTGAGTTGGAACAGAAATTTGGACTCAGAAATTTGCACTAAGGACACCATTCGTTTGTTCTTCTTGTGTCGGCAAAATCTGTAAACCCGCATTAATGGTAGGGGCTTTGAAGAGATTTTGTGTATCCTTGATAGCGGTAAATGGTTGCAAAAGAGCTGGCTACAAGCAAAGTCAGAAGGAGGATACTGCAAAAGAACTCAAAATCATTTAGGAATTAGGGCTCAGCAGTGAACACTGACTTTCTGTGATGGTGCGAACCGCGGGTCTTACCCCCAGTGAGTCATCGCCTTGATCCGTAGTAACGCTGTCCTTACTTAACCAATAATTTAAATCTTCTTTTTTCCGTCTTAAATGATGTATATCGGACGCTTTTTCCCAAATCTCTTGTAGTTCAGTTTTAAACTATTACCGCAAAAAGTTTAGCTGGAATGCCATCCCCCCTCGCAAAACCGCTCAGACCTTCTTTTGCTACTTTTTGCTGAAGAAGGGAAAAAACGAAGCCGAAGTCGAAAAGGTCGAAAAGTACACTTTAGTTTGCTGCGTTTTAAACGGTGAACAGGGAGGAGGCAGGTATGCATGTATGCAACTACATTTTCCCATCAAGTTCCAGCAACAGCTGCTGTCGCAGGAGCTGCGCAACGCAGCGAAAACTGATTCAAGGGAACTGTGAGGGAGGAGATGGCAGCGCCCAAACTATACGTGCAGCAAAGTGGTTGATAGCCCAGATGCGCAGAAGACCAGGGTCAAAAGGCCATTTGTCAGGATAACTAGTTAGATGGGAAAGTGGTAGGTAACGATACCGGTAAGGGTGATGCTGAAGATGATTTTGGTCACGAGAATAATGGGAATTACGATTTTCGTGATGATGCTGATGGTGGTGGTGGTGGTGGTGGTGGTGGTGGTGGTGGTGGTGGTGGTGGTGGTGGCGACGGTGAACCGACCTTTAATCGTCTGCAGGCTTTGGCGCCGGCAGTTACTGAGGGAAATCGATATGCATTAGGGGAAGTTTGTCAGCTTCATGACTGTAATGCCAACCGAGGAATCCTCAAAACACAGCAACGGTTTTTCCTCTGATTTAATCTGATTGCAAGAGGGAATGTGGGTGTTCAATCTTGCCTGGGCTGAGACTTGCAAGTTATCGCACTGCGCCAAGCTACCCGTTTTCTACGGCCTCATCATCAAAACCGTCGGAAAATTTGAATAAGTGCGGCTGTGGTGAGGCTGGCTGTCGGATACAAATACATCTAGAATGGTTCTTCATTTCTGGGAGCTTATTTTTTTCAATTTTAACCATTTCTACTGATTTCCATCACATCGGATGTAAAGGTTTGCGATTAATGTCACTACACGTCTTTCCTTCATTTCAGATTTAGCAACAAATTCAAGTTAAGTAGAACTGGAAACAGCGTTAATGTTGGTTCCTCGAGCTCCAGGTTATTCTTGACGGACCGTTCTTGCCAAAAATCGGGCACCACTTAATTGCTCTAAGCACATTACTGCAACGTTGTTGCTATCGATCAGAACCAATCATAGCCACTCCCAACAATAAACTTAAACCTAACCTTAGGCATACCTTTTGTTCCAACCTTAGTCCTAAACCTACTCCTAACCCGACTGTAAAATTGTGTCCATTATTGTTTCATATTTCACTTTTGTTGCACTAAATATCTGCTGTGCTTTTCACCAATACACCTTCGGAAAATTAAAAACGCCGTTTGTTATATTTTCTATTTCAGAAAAATATTCTACAGGTTCCTGGTCGTGACAATAAAATATTCACATATCAAGTAAGCGTTTGACCCTTACTGTTGGAGTTAGAATCTCATTTGACCCCATTCTGTCAGCCCGCCTGCTTACACGGCATGTTTATCTACCTCACTTCATGTGGCCTGCGGCAAACTGATGATCGGTAACGACCGTGAAACAGCTGTCTGTTTCTGACCTGTTGCACTCTTAGTGAGCTGCTCATGTATATTATGTGTGGTATGTGTCCTATGACACAACGTTCGTTGTCGTCAGTAGTAAGCTGGCGGGCGACAGAATGGGATCGAGTGAAATCCTAACTACAACAGTGAGGACCAGACGCTTACTTGACATTTTGGCCATCATTGTCTCATATTTCGAATTTGTTGCATTAAATATCTGCTATGCTTTTCACCAATACGACTTTGGAAAATTGAAAACGGTGTTTATTAAGTTTCCTATTTCAGCAAAATAGTCCGTGGATTCCTGGCCGTGATGATAAAATATTCACCGTGCATTATGTTGCTTTAAAGATTCCCCTTCCAGGCTCGACCACGATCTGCGTGGTCGATAAACCCGAAACACAATGGCAGAACGGAAATATCCACCTAGGCATTTCATTTAGTGCAACTCTCGGGTGGCCGTTATTTTTCTAAAAAATTGGGCTTTATGCGTTCAAATGAATGTCTCGCAGCAGTTCACATCCTCGGCAGACCATAAGCATTTTCTGCTACAGAGTTCGCTAAATTAGTCTTTTGCATTTACTGTTTGTTCATGATTGTTTTACTGTTCCCCGGCGTCTCGTTGTTCTTTCCTCAGACTGGAGTCATAACTGTACTCATTGATTTATTTGTAGATTTCTTTAAATTAAAATTTGTAAACCACCAGTCGTACTTGCCGAATTTCTCTTTAGGACCGAAAAGCGCCGTCTCTTGTGCCCTGGACGCCTTCTTCATTACCACATAAAAATGAGAAAGCAATTGCCCGAAGACCGCAGTTTACTCCTGTGGTACGCAAACCCAGCTCAAGACACAAACTCGTGCAGGGAAAGTCGCAATCCCAGTCAGTGATTTTGCTAGTCCGGCGTCTTTGTGTGGCGCGTTTCACGGGTTCTGCTAAAAATCACAAAGCTAGTGTTATTTTTATATTTCAGTTGACGTTTGTTTGACCCTATT